AAATTGTTTTTGAATCCATCTCACATCCATATGCGACCTATTCAATTTCTAAGAAAATATCTTAAAAAGTACTTAAACTAAAAAAGTCTTTTTTAACCATTAAGCTTTTTTGAAATTAGTAAAGTAGCAAATCTAATGCATGAGTCTCGTCTAGAAGGATAAACAATTAATCATATCATTATTCATGGAGAGATTATTTTTGAAACTTACAATTTAACCCAATTAGGAGACAAAGCATGAGTTATATAAGTAACCATTAAAGTTTTCTTGAAGTTACTAAAGGAGTAAGTTCAATGCCCTGCCAATGTGAAGTCCAGAAAGATTTATATAAGCAATTGTTAAGTTATTATTTTTCAAGTTAGATGTTAATTCAGAGTCAAGTGAAGCGTTTTTCAAATTCAGTTGATAAATAATTCATTCTCATATGCTTCGAAAACTTAAAACCTATAAGATTGTATTAGGGATATTCCCAATAAGATCTTTCAAAATATGCCAGTTATTTATGCAATAGACACTAGTTATAAAGATGATAATGTATTTTTCTTAGATTTAACTATGGTGATAGTATGTTCAATACGAAGATGATAATGTTGCTGGTCGCATAATGGTAAAGTGTCAATCACTTGACATCAAGTGTCGATCATGTCATTATTCCTATATCAACAAATCATTTTTATTTAAGAGATTATTTTCAAAACTCAAACTTTAGATCGAAATAATTTTACCATTGAAATGACAGCAATTAGGAAACAAGGCATGAGCTTCTGTTTCTTTCATATTGTTTGACAATGTATATTCACGACTTCCTCCGTTCCCACCAATTTAAAGCCCAAAAGATCATTCCAAGCTTGTTCATTTGTTCCTTACCCACACTGGAAGGCAACGAGCAGTTTCTCTTATACTTTGTCGTCTTCCATGTATACGCTCACGTCTGACTCGTCTTCTTTCCAATTGAAGTGTCAAAAGTTCACATGGAACCTCCACAGACATGGAGTCTTCTTGACTTGGTGACTTGCTTTGGGCACTTTAACTTAGCATCCAAGATAATAATAAGCTTTGGGATCTAATGCTGCAGCGTAGGTGGGGATTCGTTCTGATACAGCAACAGATATCAACAGTGAAGCGTGTCTTGATTCGAAGATCAATCGTGTCTTCTTCGTGATCATTGGTTGCAAATGAACCCACCAATCTATTTGTCAGCTGTGTAGAATTTGATTAGTACAGACGGATATGCTAAGATATATGTTGAAGCCGAACGACATCAAATGGTTGGCCATTGTTTGATTGGTAGAATGCACTCTGTCAATAAGAAGGACCACATCAATATGATATTGCTGGTAAGGGTTTGAATCGAAGCATTCTCAGACTAATAGTCTGAACAGAACATAAAAGTCAATGTGATAAATTAAAAACAATTACTTCGGTCAAAAAATATTTTATTGTTGTGAATGATTTTAAGCGTCAAACTTGCAACCTAAAAATGTTTTAACTCGTCTTAGTGTATCATACGATTAATTAAAGAAAAAATTTGCTTTCAAAGATAATTTAAATAGTATAATTAATTCAAAAGAGCCTATTTCAGAATATTTTTTTCTTTTCTATTGTAAAAATAAAAAAGGAATTACTTCCAAGTAAATATGATTTATTAAAAAGAAGATTTGGTTTCAAACTAAAAATATTAACTATAATTAAATGAAAAAAATTCATTCCAAAGACCATTAAATTTTTGGTTGCTTCAAAAAAATGATTTATTAAAAAGCAAATTTATCAGATATAATTAACTAAAAGACTTGTTTGTAGAAAAACTTAATTTTATTATTAAAAAGAAATAAAAGAAGAATTGCTTTCAAAGGAAAATATGATTTACTATAAAAGAAGAGTTACCTTTAAACAAGAGATTATCAAATACAATTAAATAGAAAGGTAAATTTAAAATATATATAATTAATAAAAAATAATGCATGCTTCCAAATAAATACGATTGATTTAAAAGAATTTTTTTTCAAACAAATAAAATTAATTTAAAAATAATTTTAAATAATTATTAATTTTTTAGTTGCTTCCAGAGAAAAGTATGATTGATAAAAAAGAAGAGTTGCTTGCGAAGAAAATTTTGCCAAAAATAATTAACCAGAAAGAGTTATTTCTATGAAAATTAAGATTTTGTTATTAAAAACAAAAAGGAAAATTTGCTTCCAAAGTCAAATATGATTTACTAAAAAAAAAAAAGAAGAGTAACCATTAAACAAAAGATTACTAAATATAATTAATTATAAAGTTTTTAAAAATATAAATAATTTAAAATTAATATATACATCTGAATAATTTTTTTTGTCAAATATAGTTAATAGAAAGAGTTATTTCTACAAACATTAATTTTTTAATTATTAAAAAGTTGCTTCCGAAGGAAAATATGATATATTTAAAAAGAGTTGCCTACCAATAAAATATAATTAATTCAAAATTTATTTTTAACTATATTAAAAATATAATATTTAAATTAATTATTTTTTAAAATATATTATAATTAATTATATTTAATTCAAAAAATTAATATATTAAAAGCTCTTTTATTATTAAAACAAAAAGGAAGAATTTCTTCCAAAAATCAAATATGATTTATTAAAAAAGAAGAGTAATCTTTAAACAAAATACTATTAAATAATTAATTATATTTTTTTTAAAAATAATAATAAATTTAAAATTGATATATACATCCAAATAAATAAAATTTTCGAGTTATTTCTATAAACATTATTTTTTATTATTAAAAAGTTGCTTCCAAAGGAAAATATGATCTATAAAAAATGAGCTACTTATTAATAAAATATTATTAAATATAATTAATTCAAATTTTATTTTAAAAAAATATTATAATTTTATTTTTGAGCCCGTGCATGTTTCAAACCTACAACCTTCACATTATTAGCATAACACTATGATCAACTTAGCTAATTGGCCATTTGATAAAATGTTATAATTAGGTTTTTATAAACACATTACTCTTAGTCACATAACTAAAGTATGATATTATTTTTAAATTCTTTTACTACTATCAACAAGAGTATAGATAATCTTAAAAGTAAAATATGCTAATTTACTAAATAAAATTATAAAATTATAAAATTATAAAGAAAAACATACTCATACAATATGTCCAAAAGTTATACACATACAAATGTCCATAGGTCATCATCCATATCTACACTAGCATGGGGCTCATATATGCTCACTTCCCGACCCAATCACTTGGGTCGAATACTAGAATCTTTACCTGCAAAATATGGTTTAAAGTGAGTAATCACTTAGTAAGTATAAACTTTATGATTTTATTTATATAAGCATATATCATGTCATATTATGATATTTTAAAATCATCGGTATAAGATATTTAATGGTAAACATTTCATCCTATGACTTCTTTAACAAACATAACCCTATAATATAATATATATATATAAATAAAAAAATAAAAAAAAATTATGCCGAAATAATTCAAAATATTTATATGTATATATAGGAAACATAATAAATTCATTGACTTTTATGTCTCATATCATAAATATATACGTGTACTCCCACACTAAATGTCATTGTAATATATACGTGCACACTGTATATTATAATATATATGTGTACTCTCACATCGTACGTTATAATATATACGAATACTCTAAAATCGTACGTCACAGTATCTACATGCATTGCATATAGTAATATATTTGTGTACTTCCCACACTACGCATCATAGAAAACAAGTATACTCCCACACCTAATTATATCATTTGAAACCCATTTTCCATAATACATTATGAATATGATAATTTATACGATTATTATTTTACAGTAGAGTAAACATATACTTACCTAATGTACCTAAAAAATGAAGATGTTAGTAAAAAGCGATCCTTAATAATCGAGTATGTTAGAGAATGGTACCCCTATAAAATTAGGAGCATAGGGTCATAAGATCCATTAATTAGGATCCCTATATCTTGAATTGTTGATTTATTATAATTCAATAAAAAACTTATAAAATAATTTTGATAAAACCCCTAATAAAATATACAATACTCAAACTAAAAATTTATTTAAATTTCATAATTAATTTTTCATTAATTCACTCTACGATGAATAAACTAGTTAATATCACTCAAACTATTGCATAAATCTATGAAGAAATTTTATTTTATTATTTTAGTTGACTAAACAATCTTGAATTATCATGAAATT